CGTGTGCATACTCAAAACTGACGATGCCAAGGGTTCCCCATAGCCCACGAGAGCCAGAGAGGGGACTGGGGCCACTGCCCCCTTGTGTGTCAGTGACCTGGACCTTTGGCCTCCACCAGCACAGTATAGGGTTTTCTAGAATATTGCGAGTGTTGATTAAAGATGCCTACTTTCACTCAGACCCTGGCCTGCTCAACAGTCCAGCCTCTTCCAGTGCCACCTGACCTGACCTGACCTTCGGGAGCTTGCAGAGGACAGCTGACCCTGCTCAGTTCCATGGGACCATCCTCGGGGACGAGGCTGGGCAGGGGGACAGTTTCCCTTACCACCTGTAAGCTTCAGCAGGTAGTGCTGCCACACCACAGTTAATTTTCACCAAAATTCCACCTAGGCTATCCAGGGTTCAGTCTGTCTTCTAAGTATGTACATCCTGTGTCCCCTGCCCCACAATTCTATTTATACTTAATTTTCATAAAATATTAACATAAATTGAGAAAAATAAGCGTCATTCCTCTCTAGCACGATTTCTAAGTTTTAGATAAATTTTAACGTTGTGGCATGCCATATACAGAGAGGGAAAGAACAATTCTAATTATACTTAATTTTCATAAAATATTAACATAAATTGAGAAAAATAAGCGTCATTCCCATCTCTAGCACGATTTCTAAGTTCTTAGATAAATTTTAACATTGTGGCATGCCATATACAGAGAGGGAAAGAACAATTAACTAATTTGAGTGCTGCTGTGTGCCAGGAGCTTCTTCTCATCTCAGTCTAGCCACAAAGACACAGATGCACTGCTGTTGGATAGCTCACTCTACTCTAAGAGGATTAAACTGATGCTCAGGACATTAAGAAACTGGAAATTTCTCAGTTTTTTCCTGTTTTCTTCATTTTTCAGAAACCTGAAACTTTAATGAAAAAACATTTAGTCACTACATAAACTCAAGATAAGCACAATAGGATAAATATAAACCTAACTGGGGGAGGGGTGTTGATTGGCTTTTAGTTCAGTAGAAAGGTGCAAATGACTTACTGAAGTAAGAGTAAAAAGTTCTGACTTACCTGTTAATATTACCACAATACTATAAGGGTAGACTGTCAATTCATTATTTTCAAATATAAAAATATTCGCTAGATAGCTTGTTCATGTAAGGCCTTATTTACCTGCAAAACATGTAAAGATAAGTTTGAAAAGAAATTCCTGTAAGAAAAATGCATAGTACAAAACTATACAGTCAAATTAAGTGAAAGAAATTCCCATTTCCAAAAGATACTATTTTGATCATTAGGAAAAACTTCTGAATCTTTAATCTCAGATTTTCCTATGGCAAATAGTTAAAACAAGTTATCCTGCTGTTAGTGACACAAATCACTTTATCTGACACCTGGTACCAGATGGCCTAGTAGCCAAAGTTTCTTAAGAGCTTACTAAATTAACTGAACTTATAAATTAACTTACTAACCGTAGCTTAAAAAAAACTTACCAGGCATGTTCTTCCTCTGTAGATTATCAAAAGTCACACTACATATAAAAAAGAGGAAAAAAATAGAATTAACACACCGGTGTCTGTCATAATGCAGTACCAAACACTAACAATACAATCCTAAGAGCTAAGAATACATGGTGAAGGAAGGGCCCAAAGACCAAATGTTCAGAGAGAAGGCTGAAATCACAGTATGCCTATACTGAAGAGCAAAAATACAGACAGACACAGCGGAAATGTTCACAGAACACCCAGAGTAGTGCAATTTTAAAGGGGTGTGTGTGTTTATGTATTTGTATCCATAGCATCAACAAAGACGAAAATATGCAATTTTCAGATTCTCTAAAATAAACTGTTAAGAGCTGCAATAAAGGAAGAGAAGCAGGTAAGAAGCCCCACGAAAAGCCAGAAAACACTACTACATTATGGTAAGAGAGAAAGGAGAGAGTTCAGTCAGGCAGCTTCTATAAACTGAACATAAACTAAAACCTAAAATAAGGCAGTAAGTTCAGGGTCAAAGGTGTGGGGTCATAGTAAAGAAAGATCTGGGAGGCAGAATTGACGGAGGTTGTCACTGCCCAGATGTCACAGCACCAAAGTAATCATGGAAAACAGATACGTGTTCAGCATTTGGGGGAAAAAACCTTAAGCATTACATCCTCTAAAGTTACACAGAGCAAATATTTATGGTTTGATTCTTTACACAGAATTGTACAAAATTACAATTGGGACCTCTGTTCAAGCCAGGGGAAGGGATCTGCACAGCTGTTAGTGCCTACTTTAAGCCATTCAACTAGTTAGCAAGGCCTAAGGTCCATATGAAGACTTGCGAACCTGACTCTCCCTCCAAGAGACTCTTGACTGGTGGGTCAAGTTCGCCAAGGGTGCTCAGAAGTCGTCTGCATCATAGCTGGTAAGGAACTAACACAAATGTGTGCAGTATCAAATCATGAATGTCCTTACAAAAAGAGGGCTGTTGCTACTGCACTGATCTCTGGTGCTCTGAAGAAGTAATGGGTGATATTTAAGATGTGGAATACTGAATATTACTAATATGGCTAATAAAGTGAAAGTAGTGTATTTAAAAAACCTACAGGGAGATTTTAAGTAACTGTCACTGGGTGATAGATTAAGAACGCCTTTTTTATTAATGGTTTTCAGTATTTCTAGTTTTTATATTATATACTACTTTTTTGGCAATTCTGGAGTTTGAACCTAGGGCCTCATGCTTGACAGGCAGGCACTTTATCACTTGGGCTGATGCACAGATGATGCACGCAAGAATTTTCAGGTGTTCAGGGTTCTTGAGCATTGCCTGAGGGTGGAGATGTCTCTCAGGTGCAGACAGCCATTTCCTGGGAAGGAGAAGTGTCTCCTGGACCACTTATCATCTCCATGATGGCTTATCACCTTTTGGGACCTCCTGCAGTCCCTCCTTCAGAGTCATGCCTCCAAGCCTTTTCTGCTTTAATTAGTTTTAAGACAGTCTTGCATTTTTGCCCAGGGCTCGGTTCAAACATTACAGGCATGATCCACCAGGCCTAGACTGTTATTGGGATGAGGTCTCAACAGCTTTTTGCCTGGGCTAGCCTCAAACCACAATGCTCTTCATCTCTACCTCCTGGGTAGGGGGAATTATAGACATGCACACCATGCCCAGCCTCAGATACGACTTTTATGTGGAATGGTGATACAAATTATAATAAGGGACGTGGAAAATAAAATAAAGGTAAATCCTAAGGTCAGTATGACCTCAATATTTTTATGTAAATTCTTCCTATACCTAATATCTACCTTACCAACAGATACACAAAAATAACGAAGATCTATTTCTGCTATCCAGAACTAACAAATGCATACTTTGCCTCTAAAAACAGTGCATGTGACCTAACAGTAATTTAGCAATCTCATTCTGTAATTATTTGTAGTGAAGGAGGAGCTCAAGTCCTAATGTAAAGAGAAAAGGACGAACAGCAGCAGCTTTCAGATTAAGACCAACCTCAGGCAAAGAGATAAAAGTGAATTCGTTCCTTCAACTGTATTCCCACACCACCACCAATTAGTCTCACCGACACTGATGCAGCAGTTTCATTACATATCCTATGATAAATGCCCAAAAATTTTGGGGTTTGGGGAAGGGAGAGCAGTGTCTGGGTATATAGCCCAGCCTGCCTCAAACTCACCATTCTCCTCCTCACTTCCAGACTTGGGTAAGGAATCCCAAGCTTCCTTACTTGGGATTGACCACAAGTTTACGTTTAACCAAGTACCTTAGAGAAGTTTTCCTTCATGGAAAAAATAGTAATTGTATACACATACAAATAACTTTACTGTTGTTGCTAAATCAGCAGGTCAAAAACACACAGCAGCCACAGGAAGTTTCTAAAAACACAGAAAGGCAAATATTTGTGTCTAATCTTTAAAAAGGGGGAGGGGGTCAGAATGACCTATGATGAAAGATGGATACACTTGACTGCTAACAAGGAAACCGCTAAAGCCAATCCCACCATCAGGTGGCTCTTAACCTCATTAGGGCCAAAGACACCAAAGTACAGACAGGAAGGAAAGCTCTGTGGCCCCTGAGTAGGACTGGCAGGCCTAAAGGATAAGGAAAGCTACAGGTATAGCCTTGCTTCACAGGAGCTCCCACATGTTGCTTAAACACTGGATGAGCACATGCTGCTGGAAAGTGACACATAAACATTCAAAACCCATCTTGAATGATAGCCTTAAAAGGGTAAAAAAAAGAGTAAGAAACAGCCCTAAAAGGGTAAACCCCACTCAAAATTTACCTAATAAACTGGGTGCCCATAATCCTACCTACTTGGGAGGCTGAGATAAGGAGGATCACAGTTCAAGGCCAGGCCAGGCAAACCGTTTACAAAACCCCATCTCTAAACAGAGCAAAATGGACCGGAGATGTGGCACAAGGATAGAGCACCTGTTTTGCAAGCATGAAGCTGAGTTCAAACCCAGTATCACCAAAAAAGAAAAGAAAAATTATCTAATACATAATCTGTGTTAAGGAGCTACAAGGTAGAAATGACAGCAAGGGGTAGAATCACCTTAAAGAAAAACAAAGTTTCTAAATTACAGAAAAGCAAGTTATTGTATTTATGAAGAAAAATCAAATGGCACTGACATGTAACAACCCTGCCTAAGTCCAAGGATGCCTTTAAAATGACCTACAAAATGTAGGAGATATAGTGATGTTTAAACACCTCCCACCAAAAATTTCTCCAAATTTCCAGCTCATGCTGTATTTTAAGTTCTTAACACTTTAAGCTTATCTAAATCCAACCTAACTATGAGCTCCTTACCTCTTTTCCTCACAGTATGTACTCAGTAAAGGTTGACTTGACTTAGAATGCATTTAACACCGGGGTGCGTGGATACAGCTACAATAGGAATGCAAACCTGGAGGTGGAGGCAAGAGGACGAAAAGTTCCAGGCTGGCCCTAGCAAAGTGGGAGAGACCGCCTTTCTTCTCTGCCGGTCCCCCCGGGCCCTTGATGAGGGAGGCCAGGTCCTCTCGATGGGAGCTTGCTGGGGCAGATGAGCGCGAAAGGCCATTTTCCTTTCCCGCGGTCGGTCACTCGGCGGGGGCGGTGGCCGCAGGGACGCGGGGACCGGACAGGGCGGCGCGGGCGGGTCCCGCCTCCTCCAGAGCCCACGGCGGCCACCGGACTTGGCCCCCGCACCTGCCGCCCCAAGCCCTCGCGCTTACAGCCACATGGTCCCCCAGGAAGCGGCGCAGCAGGTCCGTGACCGCCGACTCCAGCACCACCCGGGGGCCCAGGCAGCCGAGGGCAGGCGGAGGAGCAGGAACCCCGCGGCGTGAACGACGGACCCGGCACAGCGCCCAGTCCACCCCGCGTGGGGTCGCGAGCCCGCCAGGGGCCATCAGTGCGCAGGCGCGCGGGGTCGCCCCGCCCCCTCCCCTCCGCCCAGCCGTTACCCACGGCAACGGACGCCGCGTCCGTCCTGAGGACCCGCACGTCTCTAGGGTAAAAAGGGGCCGAGTGGGCTGGACGCCGCCGCCCTGCCCGGGTCCCACTCTGCCTGCCGCGAAGCCTAAGGCTCCTGACGGTGCTCGAAAAGCCACTTTGATCACTGAAAAGCGGGAAGGGGGAACAGCACGCATCAAGATGGCAGGTAGAAAACGACCCGATATGCGTTGCCTAAAACGCATTGTTTCTCCTTCCCTGACGTTCACTCTGAGTTAATTCACAAGCCATTTCTTTTCATTTTCTACCCATTAGGGAAATAAAAGCAACCTTTATTTTATTCATGAGCTGTGTGTTACCTGTAGTTTATATATGACTATGCTGTCCCCGAACTGTCTGCTAAAGCTGGTAAAATTTCATCTCCCACTGACAAACCGATTCTCTCTTAACAGAACTCTAGGCTTTTTTCCCCCTCTAAGGTATATTTTCCTAAATACTTTGAAACGGATGTTGACATACAGTGAACTTGTAAGACATGCTAAGATGACTTACAGTCACAAGCATTTGTTAAATGTTTTGCTGCAAGGTTGACATAAGGTAGGAAAGAGTAGGTATGTATTATTCCTAAAGCAACTAGGCTTGTGCAGGATTCAAAAGAAAAAAGTCATTTCTTAAATTTAAAGTTCACTTGAGATGAAAGAAAGGAAAGTCAAAACAATTTGCAGAGTTACATAAAATCTAAGACAGAAAGATAAGATCAGAATACTAGCCAGTACTAATGACATCCACCTCAAGTTGTAAAATTCAGCTCAAGATTGCTTAGTACAAATTATGCTGTCACATATTAATAAAAGCTTTTAAATATTGCTATATTCCATTTTCAGCTTGTTTTGAGGAAGTGACTTGCATCCTTCCAGTAATGCCATAAAACTTCCATGTATCTCTAGGAAATTAAAAATTTACAGTCCCAATTTAAAACAAGCATAACTAATGCCAAGAAGCAACAATATCACCCTTAAGTACAGCACTATATGAGAAAGAAATCAATGCAGAAGCTAAGTAAGATGAACATTCTAGGAATTATCATTCTTGCTGGTGCCATTGGCTCAAGCTTCTAATCTTAGCTTCTCAGGAAGATCACATATCAAAGCCAACCCTTACCAAATAGGTCTTGAGACACTATGTAGAAAAAATCCATCACAAAAAAGGTCTGGCAGAGTGGCTCTTGCCTAGAGCACTTGCCTAGAAAGTAAAAGTCGCTGAGTTCAAACCCCAGTACTACCAGGAAAGAAAAATGGGAAAATTAGGAGACACCTTTTAAGAAGTAACAATTCTTAATTTTTTTTTAAATTCTCTTCATTTTGGGAAGTACTGGGATTGAACTCAGGGCCTCATGCTTACTGGGAAGTGCTCCGATATTTGAGCCACGCCCCAGTCCTTTTTGCTTTTAGTTTGTTGTTTCAGATAGGGTCTTTAGCTTTTACCTGGACCAGCCTTCCTAGTAGCTAGGGTTAAAAGAGTGAATTACCATGCCCTGGAAACCCCTTAATTCCCCCCCCCACCATTACCCAACTGGAGAAGCTAAGTAAAAGCCATGACACTGTGAACATTATGAAAACTTAGGAAGGCTAACAAGAGACGAAGTGGGTAGCACAGTATTAGTGGCAGAGGGAAGCTTAAAGAGCAACTGGTTAGTCCAACACCTACATTTGACAGCTTGAAGCACAAAGTAGCAGAAAGAATTAAGGGACTGGCCATGTCAACAAGTTAGTTCCTGTGATTTTCGCAGAACTCAGAAAGTAGAATCCAGAATTGAAGCTTACTAAAAAACAAAACAAAAATGAAATCAAACAACAACAAAAGAACAAGAAAGAAAATGAGCAAAATAAAAGCCAAACAGAAAAAGCGCAAACAACCTAGCTATGTGTGTCTAGCAGGTCACCAACCAAGAGCTCCCTGCACCATGTGAACAAAACTCCAACCCATGCCACCTCCTGATAAAACTCCCTCACAATGGCTCCTTCTGAGGTCAAAGCAAGAAATGGACCATCAGGGCTGGGTCCAATGCACAATGTGTTTTCTCACATTTGGGCCCCTAGAACCTACCTTTTTCACTTTGATTTTAAAAAAGTTCCAATGTCTCTGAGATTTTCCCAGATGAGGTGGACACCTTTGCTGGGCTTGCTAGGCACGGTCAGGGTCAGCTGGGCACCGGTGGGATGAACTTCTGCCCAGCCCCTGTCACTGTTCAGTACACACCGGGGGGACCCTTCCCTATGGTTGTGTGAAGGTCCCCGACACTCATTTCCACTTGCTCTCCATCATCTTGCTGTACTTGATGCACTTTGTTATTAAAAGGTTGTTGTGGTGGTGCATTTGAGCTGGGCAGACAGCAGCAAATTCTGAGAATGTTCGCTACTAACCGTCTGGTCATCTCTCTCCAGCGCTGCCTCCTGTTGGGTGTAGCACCTTCCTTTACAGCCTGGCTTTGCTCAGGGGGGAGGGCATTTTCCACAGGAGACTGGAGCTCAGCTGACTTGCTTCCCTCAGGGTCCACTGGAGCAGAAGGGGAGACTCTGATGGTACTAGAGATTTTCCTCCGTGGGTTGAAGAGGGGACTGGTGGTAATGAAGGTTCTTGTTCTGCCCTTCCTCTCTGGGTTGTCATCCGTGGGCAGATGATTTCCTTCCATCACATCCCGACTTTGTCCAGGGGGAAGGGTGTTTTCCGCCGTGGACTTGAGCTCAGCTGATTTATCTCCCTCGGGGTCCACAGGAGGAGGCTGGGGCACGGTGGTGGAGATGGGGACCTTCTTCAGCTGGTTGAAGAGAGGATTGGTGATCATGAAGGTTCTTGTGCCGCCCTTTTTCACTGAGTTGTCGTAATCCTGGGACAAATGATTAAATTGCGATGTCAGGAAGAAGGGACGAGAAAGAGCAGGAGCACTGGCTGTCCCCTTAGAGGGGGAGAACAGGTGGAAAGATCTGTGGGGAAGGGCAAGGTGTTACTCCAGGTTGTACAGGACCAAGTTGCAAAGGGCCATCGGCCTGCTTGCGTGCCTGCTCTTCAAACAAAAGGTAAAATGCAGTGGCTTCGTTTATTCTTTAGTTTGCAATGATTGCAGAATATCGCTAGGATCAAATCCTATAGTAGCCATTGCTGAGATTATGTTGGGGTCCGGGGTTTCAGACAGGGTTTGGATAGGACTGGGAGGAACTTTGTGGAGCCAAGCGTGCTCCAGGATCTCCTCCACCGTGGGCCTCCTGCTGGAGTCAAAAGAGAACAACTGAGCCAGGACATTTTGGCACTCAGCAGACACCTGCTGTGGCACGCAGTACGCTGCGCTTAGGACTTTGTTGCGAATGTCCTTAAAGGTCTTGCCCGAGTTGGGGGACATTCCAAACCATATAATATAGTACTCCTCCTAGGCCCAAGCATCAGCCTTGGGCCCATGGTACTTCTCGTGAAGGAACATTTCAGGCGCCCGGTATGACCAAGCGCCACATTCCTCTACAGCTCCTGCCCTACCTCGAACTGGTGCTCATTTGGAAGTCACAGAGTTTGATTGTGTAGTCGTAATCCAATAGGATGTGACACGGATTAACATTTAGGTGTGCCACGCCTGCTGTGGCAATAAACCAATCCATGAGCAATTTGAAAAATTACGGGCCTCAGTCTCCCCCGAGGGAGCGGCACGTCTTTGACGTATTGATCCAGGCTCCCCCGACTCGCGTACTCAAGGATCAGGTAAACCTGCTCTGCAGTCTTCTCTACATGGAGCAGCTGAGCAATATTAGGGTGTCGCAGCGTCTCAAAAGAGAAATTTCAGATTCGATGTGGGAGTTACTTGCTCTTTTCTGCATCATTTTCACCACCACCTTGGTCCCGTGCCTCGGTGGTAGGCTAACTTCACCTCGCTGAAGGTGCCACTACTGATGGTTCTCAGAAACACGGTAGCGAGCGGTGAGGACATCCTTAGTGGAGGTGTTCAACAGGCCGTCAGCCCTTCACTACGCTCACCATCATTGCAACAAAGTTACCTAAGACACAAAACCACCACACCAAAGAACAACTGACAAACGCCAAACACCAAGACCATAAACATGAAAAGCAGAACCCAAAAACACTCGCTAGCAGGTCACAAAGGAAAGCTCCGTGTGCGATATAAAAAACCCAGCCCAGACCACGTCCTTATATACATGCGGTTTGTTACTACCTCACAATGGGTCCTTCTGATGTCAGAGCCAGAAACGGACCAATCGGGGCTGGTCCAACGGCACAGCGGTTATCTCGGCATTTTGGCCACGAGGACCTTTTGCGGCTTTAATTTTAGAATACTCCGAAAGTTTTTCTCATAGCTTGGTGATGGAAGAACGCTTATTTACTTGGCTTAGGAAATTAAAGTCAGTAGCACCTAAGGGACCATGGGACGTATTACAAACCTGTATGTGCTTGGGAGAAGAGAGCTTCACCATGATCTCCCAAAAAGGTCCTGGTCAGATTTCCCATCAGAGGCCTTGGACCCAGAAGGCAGTGAGTCGATATAAACAAAGTGATAAGGGACAAAACTGTCAACCAAGAATCCATATCCAAAGAAAGCATCCTTTTGAAAGAAAGGAAAGATGGAAGGCATATTGGGTGTGTGTGTTGGTCCCTTGACCTCTGTAACAAAATACCAATATGGGGTCATTTAATAACAACAGAACTTTATTTCTCAGAGTTTTGGAAGGCAGCTATGCTCACTACTAAGCACCAACGCAAGCAACTTCTTCAGAGTTTGGAAGCACTGGCAGAGTCTCAATGGAGCAGCTTGCCCAGATCATCACAATCATATTGAAGTGGGCTTGCTTTCTTCCTCTAATGTGTGAGCCTTGACTCTGTCCCCTCACACCGGTTTAAGGTATAGCAACAGTCTTTAAAAGAAAACATACCAGACATATTTATATCTACCATCCCAATGTAACAAATGGGATTTTTGCTTTATTTACTGTAGGTCTCTCTTCTAGTCTCCTCTTTGCTTCTCCCCCTCCTATGTCGATCCCTCCCCCACTCTCCTTCTTGGTCTTTGAAACCTTTTCCTCCTGGAATATCCCTGGCTGGCCCTGACTCTTGATCTCAAAAAGGGAAAATAGCCCACCCCCAATATTATAGGAGCTAACTGTAGCCAGCACTTGCTGCCTATTCAGCATGTTCCTACTATCTTTTTTTCTTCTTTTGTGATACTGGGTTTACAGGATCTCATATATGCTAGGCAGGTGCTCTGCCACTTGAGCTCTCTA